AGCAAGCAACTACCTCTCTTACTTCAGGAGGAAGCAGGGACTCAATTGACTCATATTGACAAACAGAAAAACTGGGAAATAGACAACAAAGATAAATTCACATCTTTTATATTTTTCTGGACACTGCCATGAAGAAAAGAGAGGCTCCTGCATCTAAAAGTGAAAATAAGAATTTCATAAAACTGCCAAATACAGTAGTGCAAATATCATTGTCTCTTCCTTCCCAACTGGAATGGGCAATCAACTCAAACTATGGGTGACACTTAATGACCATAACCAAATAAATCACACAGATACAAAACTACTTCCAGGAATGCAGCTGCCCTGAAAAATAAGGTGCCACCTGAATAGAATCAGGACAGGCCATTCGAGAACTAGGGCAAAGCTCTTTAAGTGGGGAATGGCCAAAAGCCCACATGACTGTGCTCCACCTGAACAATCATCCATATAATTCAAGAACGCCTGCTCAGGAAATTTCAAGGCACTTGGGATAACCTCATTGCAGCCACACCAGAAGCAATTAGATGGTTACCTTCCCTAGATACTGAACTACATCATCTATCCTATTGTGATTCTATGGCGCCATATTATGGCGATTTTATCATGTTTTACCCTAATTTAATATTTTATCTCATCTATTGTATTGTCCACACACTTTACATACATGTATTTGCTGATGCTTTATTTAAACTTATATTTATGTATGTTCAAATAATGTGGTTTATTAATGTTGTAAATCAGTGATTGCATGACCTCTGAAGATAGCACACACAGATGCCATATTGCATATGCTAATATTATGACTGTGAAAAGATCTTGATATGATCCCCTTTTTCGTTACAAAAATAAGGAAGACCAGCTTCCCTCTCCTCTGATTTGTTTTAAGTTAGGAAAGAAGTTGGTAAAGGAAGAGGGGAAGAGATGAGTGTCCTAATGACAAACATAAATGGGTGATCAGTGCTTAACTAGCAATCAAAGGGAAAGGGATGTTCCTCCATTTTCCAGAGGTTTGTGGTATCTGAACACAAAAACAAGCAAGCTAACCTGAACTCCAAAAGAATGACCAAATATTAGTCTTTATACATCTTGATCGTGTGATGAAATATTGACCATTTAAGAAGGAAATGTTATTTAGAACCAACACACTTAAAGATGACTTAAGTCTGTTTCATTTACTATGAGCCCAAGGCAGAAAACATGGCCTCAGACCATGACTTAATAATTAAATAATTAGTGAGTTCAAAGACACTATCTCAAATCCATTCATCCAGATTGCTTACATTTCTATTCCTAAATCACTCTTCACTTTTCTTTCACTCACTCTCACTTACTCACACACACGAACAAATGAGATTGCTTCCTTTATCCTGTAGCCATAAACATCCCCAATCCCTGTCACTATTTTCTACTGCTTTCCCAGTGCAGCCTCTATTTCTTCTTCCTCATACCAATTCTCAGCTCTCACCATCTCTTCCTGCAGTTCACCTGGATAAGGCTTCCATTCTTTCCAATGCATTGGGCTGCCCTGAATTTGCTTTGGTCATGTCAATTCTCATACTCTGCCCTGATGTAGAACTGTTCTATCACATCAGGCAGTGGTCTGTCCGTTTCTCTTACAAATGGGGGAAGTCACGTTTCAAGCCAAAGCACTGGCCTCTAGCCCTCCAAATCTTTATTTCCTAAGAAGAAAATCATATTTAAAAGTCATGGGCAGGACTCTTCACAGGAAAGGAAGAGATGCTTGCAGGTACAGGGGCACCTCTGGGCAACCTATAGTTATTCTCAGATTATGGAGTAAGACATTTTCCATGTGAATAGGTTTAACACTGCATAGCACAACATGTTTATACCTTCCTGCTTGATCCAAGATAGTTCAGTAGATACAAACAGCGGTCATAACAAAGTGTATGGAAGATACTATAACTAGTCTAGCAAAAACAAAACAAACGTAGCATTTTAGCATCAATATTCCTTTGAATGGAGATAACAATAAACCATACTGGACACAGTCAGACTCTTAATAAACATATCGCGATCAGGGTACAAAATTGCAGTGCTTTCATATTTTCAGCTTAGAAAGCTCTTCTAAATCTATGGAATATAAGACTTAGACACTTCTGCATATTTCAATTCATAATTGCTATGGTCATATAAAAACTAAAGGTTAGTTAGGGTTAGCATTAAAAGGGGAAATGACAACATACCACATATGTGCCTCCTACAGACTCTCTTTTCAAGATACTATTTTCTCCCAGTTGGATTTGTTTCAGAAGCTAATTTCTGGCTAAAAGAAAATTGGTTTGGGGAAAGGGGCAATTGCAGCAGTTAAGCCACACAGGCCAGGGGGGAGAGGATTCCCATTCATCTTTTCTGCTCTTAAATCTGGAGTTTTGATACATCTCATATTTCTACTTGAGTGCACCAGATATGGGTTTAAATAAATGATCCGATATTATGTCTCATTTAGCCTTACTGGAAGTTACTTCCAAGATTGTCAGTACAAGAGATCAGAGATGGCTAAAAAAAATTCTGTCACAAACAAATTATAATTCCAATATTGAAAACCAAAAGCGTGATAGATTATAACACTAACAAAAGAAGATTCTCAATAGCTTGTGTTACTGAAGCATGGTTGCCTAACACAGCAAATCAATAAAGAAGAGCAAACATGGAGTGCATTGAGGAAAAGTTATATCTCCACAAAGTGGGAAACATAAAAGCATATTACCTCCTCCTATTTTCCCCACAAAAGCCCTGTGAGGTGAGTTCGTTGAAAGAGAGTAACCTGCCCAAAATCACCAGCTGGCTTTCATAGTTAAAGTAGAACTAGTGTTGTCTAGTATAATGGTGATCAGGGGAATACCTGTGTTTCCCTGAAAATAAGACCCAGCCTTATATTCTGGGGGGCGCAAGTCTCTCGGAAGTCTTTCAAAGTAAATATGCAATTTCTGCTATTAAATTAAAAGGAATAGCAATAAGATATAACTATTTAACTTTATTCTAAATATATATAATAATATAAATTTATTTTAGTCTGTTTTATATTTTCACAAAATATGTATTCTATTAATTCTGCTAATTCAAAAAGTTAATACAAACCAATGTATCAGGTAGGAAGATGTATCTGGACTGTTTATCTGTCACTGATAATCAAAAGGAGGACAAACAACATTCCGGTTTCTGAAAATCCCATGCAAACTGGATTTAAAAGTAGTGCAGAAGATGTCACACAATTTCTGGCATCTTCCTATAATTTTTTAAAAAAACAATTTGCTACCTGTTGCAAAAAAAAAAAAAAAAATCTCAGAAAGAAATATAAATATTGACCACAGAATTTCAATAAGAACTATAGCACTATTCTCCTGGCTACCTTACAACTGAAGCTCTTTTACAGCTATTGAAAACAGCATTCATAATAATGAATTATAATGAAAGTATCTTAATACCAATATGCCCAAGTATGCGCCATAAATTTAGTCAGCAGCAGGTTGATTGGATTCACATTAACCTAAGCCAATGGTCCCCAATATGAATGCCTTGGAAGGAGTCCTCAGAACCACTTCAAATGTTGCCATCAGATTATAATTTTAATTTCATATGAAGGGGAAATATTAAATATGTAGGAGTAACATTCTTATTTTTTAGAAATCATATTCCAGCAGGGTCTGAGACCCTGTTTGAACTACTGAGTAAAGCACAAGGCTAGAAAGCAGGAGACCTTGCCTTAGTATTGTAGAAAGTTAGCACCCACCTCTCCTAGAATGAAATATTTTAGGAAATATTAAAAAGGCAGAATATTATATTCCCCCTAAAAGAGAAATAGAAATCTTAAGGGAGACAGAAACTCAGAGCTTCAGCTCCCTGCCCCCAGCAGATATTTGGTGCCCACTGAGAAGGTCTGGACCAGCTATCTACAAAAGAAAAGACTTTCAGCTCCAGGGTGATGGAATTAAGTCATAACCCTCCAGGACATAATAGGATTATCTAGCAGCAGGGCTCACTGCATTGCAAAATCACCTGGGGACATTGCATCACCCTCCAGGCTTTAACCAAACTTATCTCAGACAAACTCCTAGCATGGGAGTTTGACTACAGCCAATAGAGACTACATTTCTTGCACAGGGAGAGGAAGCTTAAGGGCAAGGCCCAAGAGAGGGTATAAATAATCCTCACTCTCCACTCCATGTGGTCAGCTGCCCAGGACCTCAAACCCATGTGCTCCTGTCCATCAATAAATCTTTCCAATCAGCCTCCGTTTCCAGTGTTTTTCTCCCCACTTGGAACTAAACCAGATGGATGTTTCTTCCAAGCCAGCTGTGTGACTTTAGGTCAGTCTGTCAGCCCACCTCACAGGATAGTTGTTTATGGGAAAAATAGGAGAGGATATGTTGGGTATGTTCACCACCTTGACTAATTTAGAAAATAATAAAGGTGGGATACAAATGAATTAAATAAATAAATACGGCTACTATGGTCTCAACATGAAGTGTGGCTTCTAAGCCTTGAATTCTGACTTGGCACACGTGAAGTAACCAGAACTGTAAAATTGGCATCTGTAACAAGAATATATTTGTGACGAAAAAAAGTTATCTAAATTTTGCTGCTCCTAGCGGGAAAAAAAAAAGCAAATGCGATCAATAGCGATTGAATTTCTAGTGGAAAATATTGAAACTAAAGTAATATCCATATTTTAATCAAAATGGATATTACACCAGCTGCTTTTAAGATTTCTGTTGGAGAAAGCTACTCCAGAGGGCACATTCAAGCAGCTAATCTCTTTATGATGGTAATGAGATTCAGCAGAGCTGTACTGTCCCACTTCCCGTGATGGGTAACACCCGACCGTTTAACTGGTGGGGCAGCGGGTTTAAAAGGGAAAGGAAATGGTTGGAATGTGAAGATCGTTTGCACGGGACCGCTTACTTAAGTGTTGCAAATGCAAACCCTATTGGGGAACAAGGTACGGAAACAGCTCGAGGATTCAACGCCGACTTGATTACCGAACAAAAGGCTTCGCTCAATGCACTTCCCCGTTTCTGACTGGCTTCAGCCAACGCCAGCATGCGAAGCCTCCAGAGTTTCCTGCGAGGGAAAGGAGGGCCTCCCTTTATACTTCGTCTTTCTCCGACTGCGTATTCTTTTCCCCCTCCCCTTATCTGTGGGCCCTTCCCTTCCCTTCCCGCCTTTCTTCGCCAAGGCTATTCGCGCGCCTGATCCGAGGGTAACAGCGGAGCGTGCGCAACACGCGCGTGGAGAGTTGAGGGCGCTCTCCTGCCTGTCTCGCCCTTTCTTTGCAGGGCTGGAAAACTCCCCGGCGCCGTCTCCGTCAAGGGTGGCCTCTCGCTCTTTTCTCATCTCACGCGCCCGCCCACTAAGTTTAGTGGGTTTTATTTTCTCCACCCAGGCGGAGAAAGAGAGAGAGAAGCTGGGAGAGGCGCGCTCTTTGGAGGAAGGCAATTTCGGGAGCGTTAAGTTCTCCTCTAAGCCGAGGTTTCCCAAATTAGTTAGGACTCCGGCTCCCACTATTTAAGACATGCCCGACGGGCCGAGGAGAATAAAGGTTGCAGCCCAGTTAAGGAGCCCCCGGCGAAGGCTTAGAGAAAGCTTAATAAGGACCAGTGCCAGGAAGACAAAGCGGCGGGCCCCGCCTGGAGCCGGCCTTTCGCGCGGCGGTGGGAGGGAAAGAGGCGGGCCCCACGCACAAGAAAGGCGCGCGCGCGCAGCGCGAACAAGACCCGTTCAGTCAACAAATTGTTCCTTTCCCGTCGTGGGAGGAGCCGCCGCCGCCGCCTCGAGCAAGGCGAGAACATCAGTTCCTTTCTCTCGCCACCCGCCCACATTCTCTTGTCGCCGCAACACCCATCAAGTTTTCGGGCTGCCGCTCTGCGGCTAACCCCCTCGCCAATCCGCCCCTTCGGGGTCTTCCATCACCCCCCACCTTAAAAGGAGGGGGAGGGGAGGCGTGCCGGCTTTGTCAGGCAGACGCCAGCTGGTGGGGTGGCCTTCGGAGGGGAGGACCGCACAGGGGCGGGGGATGTTTCAACTGTCTCCCGGCAGCGACCGATTCTCGTACCAGCCGTAGGAAGAAGAAAGCCAAATGAACCGTGAACCCGCCGCTGCTCTTCTCTTTTTTACAAATGAGCACGTGCTTTATGTGGCCTTGCGGGCAAGAGGAGGTCCGAGCCTCCGGTCAATTTGGCCGAACGTTTGCAGCCCTGCAGCGGTATGATCCGAGAGTCCCGTTACTCTCGAGAAATTGTGTTTCTGCTTGCATGCTCGAAGATTGGGGTCGAATACAGGTTTTAATAATTTTGGTAAGTAAGGCGCAAGAGAAGTCTTTCCACGCCGCAATCCTTCCTCATCCAGTTACGCACATTTAAAAGACTTAAGTAAACAAGCCTGGAAGTGCAGCTGCCAACTAAACAAACAAATGCGTCCCTTAACCAAACTAGTGCCTGCGGCCCGGTAAGACGCCTCCAGCGTACACAATCTCTGTGCATTAAAAGCGCAAGATTTCAAAATCTCTTCTTCCAACTATTCTAACCTTATTCGACTCTACAACTGGAAAACGGGCATTAACAAGAACAGATCCGTTAACACAGGCCAGCCTCAAATTCGCCCTCAGCCCGGCCCCCACCCCATAGATTTTACTCTTGTACATGTTTCTTGGGAGTAAAATCTTAGTGAACACCGTAGGGCTTTAAGTCCGAGTATAGTAGACTTGCGCAGGGGTAACGGTATTAACCTACTTCCTGCCCAATATGGTCTAGTTGTAGGTTAATACCACTAACCCTGCGCAGGTCTACAGTACTCGGACTTAAACCCAACGATTTACTTCCAAGGAAGATGTACAAGAGTAAAATCCTAGATTTGAAGGGCGGGCGGGAGGCTAACCGATTTAGCCAAAGCAGCTACCACGAAACGATTCTTCTTGAAAGGTATTCAATAAAAGCTTAAACAGGGGGCACTTTGTTTTCCCACAAGCTCGTTAGCCCCTGGTGTTACTCCCAGCTCGCCCTTTATAATGAGCGCGTTTTAGCAGCGAGTCTTTGGGAAGCGCCACTTGCTCCTCGGAGTCATTACGCCACCAACAGACGAACTGCCGCCCCTTTGCTGTTCTCTTCCGAGTCTTTTAAAAAAAACCAAGAAAACTTTCGCCTTTTGTTTTGGTTTTTTTTTTTTTTTAAAAAATCCAGCCGAGGTGGCTGATGAGTGGCTGATGGCTGCTTTAAAGAGGCTTGATTGGGCTGCTTCACCACCCACACTCTCACGCGCTGCCGGTCGAGGAAGAGCCTGCCCAACTTTTCTTCCCGAGAGCTGTCACTCCCTCTCGGCAGAGCCAGCCCACAAGTTCTCCCTCCACTGGATTTAAAGAGGCAGCGAGTCTCTTCCCCCCCCCCCTTTTTTTTTTAATTCTTGCAGACACGTACCCACGCTCGCCTTTGCACAGGCGCGCGTCTTTTTCTTGCCTTCTCCGGCTCCACTCAACCACTTTAGATCGTCCGAAGACGCCCTGAACCCTCCCAAGCTCAGACCCCGGAGGCGGCTCTTCCAAAATACGAATCGCCATCTATTCTATACATTGTCCGGTAGTCTTCAGGAAACAAGGGGCTGGGAAGGAAGGCTACTTGAGCGGGCGGTGTGTTCGAGACCATCCCTTCTACACAGTGTTTCAGAAACCCGTCAAGAGTTGGCAGAAAGGGAGCGCGGTTGGCTGAGCCGGCCGCCTCCGCCATGCGGAGCTTTCAACTCTTCTTCAAATGGTCCGTTTTGCTTCCTGGATTCCCTTATTAGTTATAGGACCAAAGTTTCCTCTGCCCGCCCATTCCCCGGTTTCAGCCAAGCATCCCTCGCTCGCTCCCCTCCCAAACTCCCACATCCGTTCAGGCGAGAAGCAAGAGCTAAATGAGAGAGCGCCTGCCCACAAGTACTCCGCAGCCGCCCCCAGCCCCCTTGCCCGCCCCCTTACCATGATCAGTGTGTGATTCCTCTGCTCGGCTGTAGCAGGCTCGGCATCTTGTGGCTGTTTGCTCGAATGTGGTTGCTTGCTGCCACCGCCGGAGCTCGATTTCTTGGCCCTTTGCTCCAGGGTCCTCTGGTAAAGGCTCACCGTGTCCCTTCGCTCCAGCTCCAGCTGCTCGGCCTGGGCTTGCTGGTACCTGTTCTCGCAGCTGACGTGATGTCTCCGGCAGCCTTCAATGCGCTGCCTGAGCCTTTCCACCACGGTGCTGTGCTTGGGAATGCCGCCGCTCCCGTTAGTACCGCCGCCGCTATGAGTAGCGTTGTGACCGGGAGGAGGCCCGTGGGGAGCGCTGTTCACGCCGATCCCGGCCCCGCCGAGGCTGCTGCTCAGGTTATTGTTGAGACAAATGCTGCTGCCGTTCGTGGCGGCAGCGGGGGTTGGAAAATCCCCCATCCCCTTCCCCGTGCACACTATTTTGGAAGAACTTTTTCCCCCCTCTCCTTTTACACGCGGGAGCCGCACAGCAGGCAGAAACGCCGAAGGAGGGGGAATCCTCCTTTTGGGATACTCTTTAGTGGGCCATGGAAACGCTAACAGACCCAAGCAAAAATGTTTGGGGGTTGTAAACAACGAAGCAAAACCTCTTTCTTGCCGATCCTCTCGGATGGGTGGGAGGGACGGGTAAAAAACGCCAAAAGCAGAAAGCCCAAACCCGGAGGTGGTGCTGTAAGGTTATCGCCAGACACAATCAACAAACAAGGCATCCGCCGCCGTTCGGTTACAAACTCCAAGGAGGAGAGCTCAGAGCTGCTCCCCTTTTAAATAATCCATCCTTTCCGAAAGAAATTCCGGACCGAAAGCCTTCTTGGTCTCCCCCATGTATTAAAACATAAAGCCGGAGGGGAGGGGGGAAGACATCCCCAAAAAGCCTTGTGTAGAGATAGAACCTTTCCGCACTCGCACTCTACACGTTCACAAAATACCTAGGACGGGCACCCACTGGTCAAGGAACACACATGTACGACCCACAACGCATTCACACCTCACACCATCGGAAGACAGGCAACGCCGCTTGCTTAATTGTGTTTTCTTTCCGGGGGGGGGGGGGGGGAGAAAAGGGAGGGGAAAAAAGTTTGGGTGTTTATGCCGCACCGTGTTCTCAAAGTACTTTGGCTGCTCAGTTGTATTTTTCAACAGGAACCTAAAAAAGCAAATCCTCCGGCTGGGGGAAATCAACACGTGAACAATCCGGGGCGATCTGCAAAGGTAGCTGGCTGAAGGACTGGCAGAGCGTCCGCGGAGCTGCTACACGCAGAGGGACCGGCTCGGGCTCTGCTCTGCCCGCTGCTTCTCCTCTGCCACCATCACAAGGATCAAGTGCGTTACTCTTCCACCTCCTCCGCCTCCTCGTCCATGCCAGCGGAGTGATACCAGGACAAGAGCGCTCAATAAACACAGCCGCAGCAGCTCCAGCTCCTCCAGGCCGTGAGGCAGTCCCGGGGACAAGGTGCAAAATCCGGCCCGGACCTTTAGCCAGCAGGAACGGACACGACGATCCCCACCTAATTCCCCCTCCGGCGCCTACTCACGCTGTTTGTTACCTTGGGCGGAAAATCAGCTCTGCCAGGACGGAACAAGAAAGGATCCGAAGGGAAGCTGGCGAGGCAGTCAACTTTTGACCTGGTCGCGTGTGATATGTGTGTGTGTGTAATATGCGTGCTTGTTTGTGTCCGGTTTCCTTATTGAGCTTTCAGTGCAAGGCGAAGCTGTGTATCATGTTAGCCTAAATTCTTGCGTATTACATTGTCAGAATCTGTGCATGGCTCCGCCAAAAGGGAGCAGGCTCTTCGCCTGCCTTGTCTGATAACCTTTTCCACATGGAAAAGTAAAGACGGAGCGGAGGAAAAAAAAAAAAGAGGCTGGCTTTAACATAAACCCTGATAAGCCTCCCTTCTCCCCCCACCCCATTTGAAAATATTCGTTGTGAAGTGATTTGTGCTTGCAGTCTTACTCCCTCGCTTGAGAGTAAATATAAACTTATTTTCAAGTTGGTTTAAAGATAATCTCTGTAGCGTAACTCCTATATATGTGCATTGTATGGTATTTTCTGTTGACATTCTGTTATGTTGTTAATTCAACTTTATTTTTTAAAAAAATTAGGGTGCCAAAGGCTGCCCCCACTTTTTTTTCTATACAAGAACCCTGAAGAGGTTCAACAGGAAAAATAAAAATAACCATTACTATGTTGTTTACTGTCTTGTAAAATTTGTAACAAGAAAAAGATTAGCGATTCAAAGAACTTAACAAAGGAATCAGGGCAAAAATAAAATTAAAGATATGCTACTTGTCCTCCCCCATGTATATATAATAAAAACAAGAGTAAATATTTACTAGGAACTAAGGTATAGTACTGTATTACAATAAAAAAGTCATATTCACCCTTTGTACCCATATTTATTGCTTACTCAAATTACTACAAAATAAGAATTCAAGTGAGAACTGGTGAGTAACCTGAAGTATTTCTGAACTTTTCTATTTTTAAAAAGAAAGGTAAATGTTTATTGGATGAAAATTGCATTTTTCCAACACAGGATTGCTAACAAGTGAGAATGGTGTAATCTTTATCTTATTTTGTATATAGGGGTAGTTAATACTATTATTGCCTTCAAATAAAAGTTTCAGCCTAAATAGATTTCAACAGGTTTAAGGCTGTAATTCTATACTGTACTTGAAAGTATTTCTTTTCCGCTTTTATGGGATTTAGGAGTACACATGCTTACATTTCAGTGATATGTTCATTTAAGTCATTGTTTCTCAAACTTTTTGCAGTTGAGAATATTTAGAAAATGCTGGGACCACTCAAATACATGCTGTACACCTGTTTTCATGCTTAAGCGCATGGAAATTCATATTTTGTGAATAAAGCAAGGATTATGGTATCATTTGTAGGTGCTCTCCGTCCTGAAAGACTTTTTAAAAGTTTGATACAAAAAATCAATTCATAATTATTTATTTACCACTTGAATGTATCTGTCTCATAACTTGCTGGACAAGAATGTCTTTGACAGAAATCTAGTGGCAACTAGGAGCAAGTGGATTTTCAGCCTAACAAAATCATGCTTTTATACTGTATATTCTTCAGTGTATTTCCTATTTGTATATTGGGGAATGTATTGCTTGTGGAATATCAAAGGTCGACTTAGTACAACACATGCAGACTCATAGTAACTGCTTTTGAGATGTTTACTTTTGTTACTTTTCTGAATGTTAATATTTATTACATTTATATATGCTGCTACAGTGCCACAAGAGTCTTGCCAGCTCTGCAGGAATATAAAGAATATGAAGACATCCATGGTCCAGTTAAAATCATACAAACCTTAAACATGCAAATCATAACATCCAAAAAACAAAGTCTCAAATGCATTATGGAAGAGCTCCATATTGTTTCCATAAAACACCCAAAGTCTGGACTAAACTCGCTTCTGGTGGAAGGCTTTCCAGAAGGTTAGCACTGCTACAGGAAAACAGTGCTGCTGTTTTTCAACTCCCCACATCTCCCTAAGTGGACAATCACTTCTGCTGTTTGTCCCAGCAAGCAAGAAAGTAACCTGATGCCAAGTCGTAAAGGGCTTTACAGGTTAACACCAGCACTGTAAATTGCAGCTGAGAGCCAATAGGAAACCAATGCAGACCCTGTAGAACAGGGCTGTCAAACTCCCGGCCCGCGGGCCAGATGTGTCGTGCTGGCCACCCCCACCTGCTTTAGCGAAGGAGGGAAAAGATCCTGATACATCACGTGACGCTGCCGTGATGATGTTTGACACCCCTACTGTAGAACAAGTAATGTGCTACCATAGGTAAGTACCAGATAATAGGCTGCTGTGCTTTGGAACAACAGTTCCATGTAGAGTGGGTTGCAGTGATCTAGAGTAGTAACAGGAGCAGCATAACTCTTGTAGTTAACCACATTACTAGTTGTCAAGTCTCAAACTTTTGACCCGCTGTTATAGGAGAGTTGGTTGCCCAACAGCCATCTAGTTCCTTCTTCTTTCTCCCCTCATGTTTCCTTGTTTCAAATTATATTGGCAAATTAAAATCTAGTTGGAGTGGCTCAGTTCATTTAGCAGTACATAAAATGCTTGGGATGAGGAGGCATTTTTCAATATGTTTTATTTCACATTATTTTGAACTTGTGAGATATCCACGGGTGTGGAAGGAGGGACAAACAAGCCCACTAAAACCCAAGTGGAATATTGGAATTATATAATAATATCAACCTCCTCATTTCATGCTAAAGGACTTGGTGGATGTTTTCCTCTGGGCTGGAGACATTTGGAAGGTGGATGCAACAGTGTCAGAAGGAAAAAAGAGAGCATCCAGCATCCATAAATCAAAACAATACAATTTGACAGGGATACAATGGAATCAGGGATTGGCATTGTAGGTACCCAATTTTAATACACAACTAGCAATTTTATATCATTTTTGTGCTGAGACAAGGAAGGATTGATGGCACATTTATTCAACAGCAGAGAAATTGCTGATATTTCTGTCCTGTATGTAAAAGATAAAACCTTCATGAAGCTTGGTGATATGGACAGATCCATGTAATTTTCATGGCAGCAATGCAGAGGTGGTTTGATGTCCAGAATGCGTTTTCAGTTTCTCAGTCGAGTGTACAATCCTGGCATGTTTTGGTGGTCTCCCAAATACTTGGAGTTACAATATGATGTGGGCAGCTCTACGAATATGATAAATAAAACAAATACACAGTAAGTGTTAATAAGGTCTCATACGCTCCTATTTTTTCTTTAAGATCAGTTAAGGTTGGCATTTTGTGTATAGTTAATTCTATGTTGGCATTGTAAAGATTGATTTTTGGCAAAGTGTCTTCCCGTACATGCCATATTCCAGATTATTTAGAACTGCAAGTGCAGAATTCCCAGCAGGCTTGACAAAATTCTGGTATATATGGTTCTAAAATTAAGGATGCAGCAATATATTAACTACATTTATTTTTCTTTTTACAATCAATATTTCCTAAATGACTATTAGGAGACATAAAAGAATATTTAAAATACATTTTAACTTTGAGGTTTCTTCTACAAGACTAGTCAACCCAAATATGTAAATATGCTAGCAGGGAGAATTGATGGTATATAACAACAATATGAAAGCAATTGACCAATAGAAATTGTAAAATCAGGTACTCTGGAATATGGTCTCTAGGCAATGATTGATAATAGTTTGGACTCATGTTCCATTCAAGAATTTAGTCCTTTGTGGTTTCCTGCTTATAAAGTCCCTTTTGCCAGCCATGGAAGTAATCTAAATTCCTAGCTTTTTGTTTTGTTTTGTTTCCCTGAGAAGACCTATATGTACTTACTCCTCTATATCTCCCTCTGTAATTCAAGAATATTCAGAAATGACATCAAAGACTTTTATTGTACCTCTAATTGAAAGACATTAATATTTTTGAACAAAATTACAGCTACTTAGGCCAGAGAGCAGGTGCAAATGAGTTTCACTTAGCCTTTCAGTAATATTTTGTGCACTTAATGTTTGATTTCACATACAATTTCTGATCAGAATATGATCCATTATCTCTGTATTTTCACATTCTGTTTAAAGGGAAATAAAGAAGCAGGTATCACTAAACTGTTTAAAATCAAATGGCTGTTTTTCTGACATATGGGTGGAGGATTCCTGCATTAAAAAATTATTCAAGAGAGAGCCTAATGAGCATTAAAACAAATGTACGGAACTGCCTTATACTACAGATTAGGAGACAGCTTATTGGATCACACTTGCTGCATTAAATTCTCTATTGCCCAGTTTCCAAAGTTCACAAAAGAGAAATCACGATCACAATGCACACAAATATGAAATCTGAACATAAATTAAAATCTAAGACTTGGGAAAAAGCCTTCAGTGGCCAAAGGTCACAAGGACACAGCAATCAGGCAAAATGGGCAGGGCTGTGTCATGGATTCAGCTAGCGTTGTTCCTAGGAGCTGCAGTTAAATAGAAGACTCCATTTTTTTAATTCTCTAGTTAATTGGTGGTAGATTTTACAGTTTTCATGTAAATCGACTTCCAAATGGGAAAGAATTGGGTACTGATTTTCAGCAACTGTAGTCAGCATGATTCTGGAATACATGACTGAAGTTTCATGTTGACTGTCCCAATTAAAATCAAAGAAATGGATTACACAGAATAAAACGGCAACAAACAACAACAGTTGGTAAGGCACTAGCACCACAGGTTGATGCACCACAATATCCAGGACAACAAAAATACTTTACCAAAGCATCACAAAGTCGGCATCAGTGTTCCTTGCAGTGCAGGTTGTATTGGGAGGCTTCAAAGCCCCAAATATAAATGAGCCACAGGTGATCCACCCTGCTTTAGGTGGATATGTGGAAAACTAAACTTTGGACCTTTTGCGTCAAAAAACATTTACCCTATTACTCAACAACATCTCTCCAAACTCCTCAAATTGAAATCTTGGGGGGGGGAAAACGGAAAAATCTGTTGTGCTTCTGGGCTGAATACCAACATCATCTAGCAATGTCATCTGTCTTCAAATTTATGTAACTGGGCTGCTTTGCAATTAGGGGAAAGTCCAAATCAGCAGCAACTATAGTTTATTTGGATAAACAGATGACATTCCCAGTAGCAATGGAGGAAGGTTAATAGGAAATGCTACTAATTCATTGAACAACCAGTTTCATCCATCAGGCAATAAGAAGGAAACTGGGCCATGACTATTCAGCTAGGTCTGTCAGTGGAGACTGGAACCAATCAGATGCCCACACAAAACCCCTTTCTGAAGGGAGAGGCATCAACAGGACTATCCATGGCAGCATGAGCTTCAGAACTCATGGACGGAAAAGAATTTTGTATAAAGAGCATCAAACTTTTCTCAGATCAAACAGCACATTCCAAAACCATTAAGACAACAATAATCAGGTATTTCAAACAAAGCAAAAAATATATTTAATTATATGTAACACAGTTAATGCGAGTACTATCTACTATTTACTATTGTTCTACCACAGTCAAAGTTATATTTTAGTGACAAACCTTGGAAGGAATTTCATCTATGGTATTGGGGCTAGTCGTAGCTGACCTAATCAGCTGCTACTGAGAGGAAAGTTCTCATCCCTATCCAGGAGCAACACAAAACTACAGATCTTCCAGTCATGGAATATGGTCTTTGTTATAATCTGCCAGATGATGCTTTCACTTTCTTTCTTTAAAAAATAACTTGTGTGAAAGAAGTGAAGATCTTTGCCTGCCTGATCAAGATTAACACTACTGCAAATGGAGCGCTTTTGGTCCTTTTACCATCTCATGTGACTTTGGAGACAAAAAGTAAAATTAACAGAGAAATGAAGATTCTTGAACAGACCAATTTGTCTTGAGGCCAGTATGAAGTAGAGAGGATTAATTCTCTGTTAACATCTTATCTCTGATTGCATGGCACAGCTAACAACAAGAAGTCTATTTACTACCAAACAATCACATGTGTAGGAAGTGGCATGGGCAGAACTGTAGTTCAAAGTATTTAGAGGGCAACATGTTCCCTTCCAATCCTCACAACTTAATCCACAAAATAAATGATAAAGGTCAGCCAACATTAGATCTACCACATCAAATTTTGCTTAGCATTTTTTAAAAAAGCAATGCTTAGGAAATATTTTTGTTTTAATGTAATAAATCCTTCAGGTTGATATGGATTTTCTTCAACAATGGTATGGAAATGGCGTGCTGTTGCCTCCTACAATATTATTTTAACTTTACAATCTAGATTGTTGCCCTGCTAATTTCTGTTGATTTCCTGTCCATGTCCAAATCAGGTCTGACCCACGGATGACTGCGTCAGCTGCAGAGGACCCCACTCCCGACAGAACTGTAAGTTCAGGGATGCCATCTGCCATTTCTGTGAGAAGAAGGGCCACATCGCCCGAGTCTGCAGGGCCAAGCAGGCGCAAGGCTACAAACCACGAGGCCAATCCTGCCAATCCGAGACAGCGCTGCGCCGGAGGCCCAATAAAGATGGCGGAAGCCAGAAGGGCGCGAAATCTGAAGACGTCCAGGCCTACACTATCCGAATCGACCAGACCTGCACCTCTCCCGGAGAAAAGACCTACACCACGGTCGAGATCGAGGGATGTGAGTGCCAGATGGAGATCAACACGGGATCCCCCATAACCATCATGTCGTGGGACAACCTAAAGAAGGCCATCCCCAGCGTACACAAGCGGCAGCTCCAACCACAGCGGCGCAGACTGAAAGACTACCAGGGGAACCGCATCCCCGTAGAAGGAATAGGCAAGTTCCAAGTGCAATACGGGGAATTCAGTGAGAAGCTTCCCCTCACCATCGTCAGTGGCAAGCTCCCAAGCCTCCTGGGCATTGACTGGTTTCGAGCCCCGGGCATGGGATTCACCGGAGTCCAAAACGTACGAAGCACCCTGAAGGACGACCTGATGCAAGAGTTCCAGGACGTGTTCGACGAGCGGCTTGGCAAGTACGTGGGGACCCCTATCTCGTTCAACCTCAACCCCAACATTGCCCCAATCCGATTGAAACCAAGGAGGGTACCATTCGCCCTGAAACCTAAAATAGACGTCGAGCTGGACAAATTAATCAAGCAGGGGGTGCTTGTGCCAGTCGACCATGCCAGATGGGAGACCCCAATTGTGACACCCATAAAGCCGGATGGGTCAGTGAGCATATGCGCAGATTATAAGTGTATGATTAATAAGGCTCTTCAACAGAGCGCTTACCCGGTTCCAATTGTACAACATTTATTGCATTCCCTAGGCCCCAGCAAGATATTCACTAAACTTGATCTTGCGCAGGTGTACCAGCAGCTGCCAGTAGATGGCGCTACTGCAGAAGCACAGACCATAGTAACTCACAGAGGTGCCTTCAAATGCACCCGCCTGCAGTTTGGAGTTAGCATAGCCCCGGGACTATTTCAAAGCACTATGGAGCGGCTGTTGCAAGGGATCCCCGGGGTGGTCCCATATTTCGATGATGTACTCGTCACCGCTGAAGATGAACAACAACTAGGGGGAAGGCTCAGAAAAGTCCTGGAAAAATTCAGGAATGCTGGACTCAGGGTCAAACGCAACAAGTGTATGATCGCAGTCCCCTCTGTAGAATTCCTGGGGTACCAAGTAGACGGCACCGGCATACACCCTACCGAGAGTAAGATCAGGGCGATCCAGGAGGCCCCTACCCCTAAAGACAAGGCGGAACTGCAGGCGTTTCTGGGACTTTTAAATTTCTACGCGATTTTCCTGAAGGACAAGGCAACAGTGGCTGAACCCCTGCACAGACTGTTAGCTAAGAAGTCCACTTGGAAATGGGGGAAAGCCGAGGCTACTGCATTCATGAACATTAAAAAACTGCTGTCAGCCGAGAGTTTCTTAATACAATACAACTCTACGCTTCCCCTTGTTTTAGCTTGTGATGCGTCCCCTTTCAGTGTGGGAGCTGTTCTAAGCCATAGACTGCCTAATGGCCTAGAGGCACCCATCGCCTACTACTCCCGGACACTCTCCAGCGCCAAGCGGAACTACAGCCAGCTGGACAAAGAGGCCCTTGCTGCCGTCTCGGGGGTAAAGAAATTCCATGAGTACCTATTCGGGAGGGACTTCGACCTAATCACCGACCATCACCCGCTTCTGGATCTCATCGCAGGAGACCGACCAACACCGGCAGCCC